CGTTTAAACGGTTTAAACGTTTCAACCGTTTAAACGCCTGAAACCTCCTGGTTCTCATACCTAAGTGCTGCTCCAACATCTAAACCGTTTAAACGTTTAAACGCCTCACATGTCCTGCTTCTCATACCTTCAGAACTGCTGCTCCAATGTTTAAACTGTTTAAACGTTCAAACCGCTTAGACGTTTAAAGCCATCGAAACGCCGCAAACGTCCTGCTTCTCATGCCTTCAGAAGTGCTGCTCCAACGTTTTTGAACCGTTTAAACGTTTAAAGCCATTGAAACGCCTCAAACGTCCTGCTTCTCATGCCTTCAGAAGTGCTGCCCCAGCGTCTAAACCGTTTCAACACGTAAAACCAGCCTTAAACGTCCAACTTCTCACACCTTCAAGAAGTGCTGCTCCAAAGTTAACGTTTAACCGTTTAAACCGTTTAAACGTTTAAACCGTTTAAACGTTTAAACCGTTTAAACGTTTAAACCGTTTAAACGTTTCAACCGTTTAAACGCCTGAAACCTCCTGGTTCTCATACCTAAGTGCTGCTCCAACATCTAAACCGTTCAAACATTTAAACGCCTCACATGCCCTGCTTCTCATACCTTCAGAACTGCTGCTCCAACGTCTAAACCGTTTAAACGTTTTACACCATTGAAACGCCTCAAACGTCCTGCTTCTCATACCTAAGTGCTGTTTAAGCCGTTTAAACCGTTTACATGCCTAGAACTACTGGGCCACACAGACACATGTTCAAACACTCGGCACCCGCGACATGTTTAAACCTGTCTAAACGTGCAAACCCGACATGTTTAAACATGTTCAAACATGCCGAACCCCGACCAATGTTTAAACTGTTTAAACGCCCAGAATGTTTAATGTTCAAACTCCAAACGTGCTTGGCCCATCTTTGACTCTGTCTCCAAATCCATGTACACCTCGCGCACGTGCACACGCAGGACACAGGTGTCAAGTCAAGTGTCCCCCAAAACCCTGAAGAAGGCGGCACAGCGAGTGCACCCACAGAGTGGGGACTCCAGCTGGCGCGCAGTGGGGCACCGGCGAGGTCACAACGCAGCCTGGCGATGCTGAGAGTTGCTTCGATTTTGGTATGTAGGAGGGTTATATAAAGCTTGATCAGGCTTGACAAGACATCACAAGGGCTTTTACACACCTAACTCGTGCATCCATCTACCATGTTATCCCCCACAGCTCCGGCACGTCGAATTACAGGACCTAATAACGACATCGTATGATCGCGATCTCCGAGTGCGGCGGTCCAAGTCCCGCACTAGACATGGACCTCTGCGCCATGGGATCACCTTTGGGGCACCAAGCACATTGCTCGACCCTCACATTGCGCTGTGAGCTGTGAACAAGTCAAATGTCCCCTCCGAGGTCCTTGCAAGTGGTCTCGACCCTAGGCGTGGACAACAATGGCTTGAGCAAAATGCTTCGGCTGCTGGAACGCCTTGCGCACACTCAGAAACACGTAAACGTAGGGTCATGAAACCTCCCGAAACCTGAGCTGCATCATTGCGACTCACATCCTAAAGTGTGTTGACATGTTGAACACCGCTTCACGTTCCTCTGGTCCGCCTTTATAATCAATGTTCAACTCAATGATACGATAATTTGCTTGAACGCCTGTCTTGAAAATATGAGACATACGAACATGACGCTTCCCAGTTTCAGCATGTACACAACGTATGCTCGATGACATGAACGTGTCAACATCAACACCTTGCTCACATAGTCTCACCGCGAAAGAAAACGCAGATGGCTAGTTGTCGAAGAATCATTTTGCCACAGGCGAGCTTTGCTTCCAATGTATGAGGGAAGTCAAGCCTCTGGCACCGTGCATTCCCAAACCTCTAGAATACTCACTTCCCCCTTTCATCATGGGCCCAATCCTCCCGAAATCATCCCTGCCCGTTAAAAAACCCTGTTCTGAATTACGGGGGATAGTGCGAGCCTTATCAGTGTGACACTCACTAGAATCACTGGAACCGTCACCCTGGCATGAGCAGCAGTATGAATACGCGCGGTAGCATAGCCAGCTGGGCTTTCTCACCACTCAGCACGAGTCGAGGGAGCGCGCTCATTTGCATTGGCTGCACAAGAAGACATTGCAAGCCTCGCAGAAGCCCGCAGCACCTCGCCGGTGGAGAGTTCACACACCAAATCGGCGAATGAAGTGCTGAGGCAGCGCAACAGCTTCTCTCTTTTCGGGCTGTCCTCGGGGCTTCGCAGGTATCATTCCTCGCCCTACCAGTAAGGCCCTAACGTTCAGCATTCCTCAACACCGATTGGGTCGTTGAAGACAAGGACCCGACTAAAATTCGACACGAGACCAGGATAAAGCCCTATCGCGAAGTCGAAGTTGTCTTCCAACGTGGGAGTCGGGGGAACCTGCACGTCACGAGACCGAGTGTCCTTTCGCAGAGAAGCCTCTGGCTGGTGGAGACCAGGCACCACGCGGCCCGCGGCTCCGAATACAGTGCCCGCATGTGAGGGAATCTGAGCTGAGACAGGCTCCGGCATCGGCTGGTGGACTTCAGAATCCGTGCTCATGCCCTGTGTGTAGGTGGCTCCGGGCGAGATGCCGTCCTGTGCAACCTGCCCCTCACGCCAGCGGCCGGGGTTAGAGGAACGCTCTTGCCTCCTTTCCTCGCCCCATCGAAACCGGCCCGCTACAGAGGCAGGCTCCGGACTCGCGGCAGGTTGAGGATCAGGCGCCGTGCCGGAGCCCACGCCCTGCGTGTGCGCCTGAGCACTTTCTGGGGCATTGACAGCAGGTCTATTGGACATCACGTGCCAGGCCGTTGTCGCTAAATTATTGAGGCCGTATTCACTCAAAAGCCGGGTCAGCTGATGCGGGTTGTGCCCACGCCGCCCGGCCGACACCACGAAGGCCAAGGCCATGGCAAGCCACGCGGAACGCCGCCTAGCCTTGATATTCGATCCCACTCCGATGGCCCGCGTGCCTTCCAGCTCTAGCAGGGATGCATTCTTGGCTTCAGGCCAAGTGCCGGCTGAGCGTAAGAGCGGAAGCAATTGTCCACTCACATCGGTCTCGTCGGCCTCCATGCGGCTTCTGTTCATCTGCAGATGTGCTAAGCACCCATCCAGAATGTGCGCAGATTGGCCCATCAAAGGGGACTCCGATGCTATGCGAAGGCAGAGGACTTTGTCCGAGGCAATGAGCACAGAAATTATTTCAACTTCAGCCGGATCCATGGCGCCAGACTTTGCAGCAGCCCCCGGATGCCTACCACAGTGCACAGAAATCCCTGAACTGGTAACTGGTGTTGCTCTCGATGCCGAGCCTTAGCCTTAGAAGAAGGGAGGCTGACATCGAGCTCCTGCCCCAACTTGTTTCAGACATAGATAGCAACGGATGGTACTACTTACTGCCTACCTGCAAGCTCACATCTCGAGCCGCAGGCCACGACCCGGACTTGAGACGCAGTCGAGGCGTGCTGCACAGGTGTCTCAACTTCCAGCGCTGGAACGTAACCAGGATACATGTTGACCTCATTTCACCTCTTGATCGTCGTCACCGGCATGAAATCCCACACGAGGTCAGTAGCCCTCTGCTGCAGTGCTGCGGCCCCTCGAACACTACCGCGCCTGCGGAGAGCTCGGGGGAGCCACGCCATGGCAAGTACAGCAGTGCCCTGCTGTCTCGCGGCTTGCAAGAACGAGCCCTCAACTGCTCATTATGTTTTATGTTACGTTATGTTATACTATATTATATTATATTATACTATATTTGATTTTACTATATACTATACTATATATTCTATTATACTCGTAAAGGGTGTTGGGGAACCAGGGCGTGCAGGTCTAGTTCTTCTCCTTGGGGTTGCACCTCCAAGCCACTGAAAAGGCAGCAAAACTCACCTGGCCGGGCATGCTGCGTGGCCAACGCCGTGGCTTGCAAGAGCGGCATCGTCTGCAATCTCAATCTCAACTTTTTTAGCCACGCTTCCTCAAGCCCTCAATGCAAGGAACCCGAGAAACCTCAAGCAAAATCCACGTTTCCCGCAGATATGCTTGACCGGATGCCGGGTTCTGAACCACGTTGAGGGACCCATTGGCTGGACGGGGCTATCTGCATCGTCGGCATTCCTCCCTTCATGCCTTGGACGCCTCGTCAGGAAGTCCCCCGCATTTCGCTGCCTAGCATCGTCGGCAGCTGTCCACCTGTTGGAGCAGAGTGCTACGTCGAACCCACGACGCCTTACAAAGCCCGCTGATACTCTAAATCATTCTACGAGCCACGACCAGAGACGCTCAACGTCCCTGCCCCCAGAAAGCGGTAGCTTCGATTCTGCGCCTGGTTGCTCGTGAGCTGCGGGTTCCTGCTCGATGCCTTCAAGCTTGGCGGCTAAGCTCTACGTGCGGGCTCTGTTAGCTGCAAACGACAAAACATCACAGAGTCGTGCCTCTGGTCCCTGATGATGTGCTGCACGAGGACGCAGCTCTAAGGAGGCCTATAGGCTTCAAAGTTCCGCTTTGCAGGAACCGATTGCTGTGCCTGGCCAGCAGGTCAGACATGTCACCTGCAACTCATGCATGCGCCCGAGACCCTTCCGTGTTGGCCTGGCCGCCGGCACAACAAGACAGCATCTTCTTGGCCGGACTGCTCTGAACCGGGATCAGTTCAAGTAACTGCTCACAGGCATCCGATGATACCTTCACCCTCGGCCCTACTGAATCAACAGGCATGCCTGAGCCTCCCCGCATTGCGTGACGCACACCGTGCTTCTCACGTGGGTTTCCGTTCCACGGTCAGGACCCTTTACAGCACGTGACTCCGATCTTGATGGCTTGGTTCCAGGATTTCCAAGTGCTGCTGAGTTCACCCCCCCATTCTGCTTGTTGCATCAGTGGCACTTGCACACGTCGCAGACCTGACAATTGGGAGCCTTCCAAAACGGCATTCTTGCTTCAAACGCGTGGGAGGCAATCTCATCTGTTGCTGTCTCACTGCTATCCTCGGCACTGATGTCAGTCGTCGGATGCTAGATTTTGAGGATGGCTTCTATGCTGCCGTCGTCATCTTCCTTAGGGACATCTGCTTCTTGTTCCCTTTGTTCGGATTCTTTGGACTCCCTCTCCGGATGAAACTGACCAGATGCTTCATTCTTACAACTCTTCGGTTCCACCAATGTCAGACACAGCAACAAGAAAATGAAGTGGCTTCTGAAAGCTTGTGACTCGCCCCAGCACGGGGGCCCCCGAGCGGTGAACCCGCACCCGCTGTGCCTGGCACGCCGCGCTCCCAGTGAGTTTTTGCCGATGTGCAGCCGGTCAGGTTGATGTTCTCCTGCCACTTGGCAAATGCAAGCCGTGCCTGCAGGGGCCTGCCAAAAACAGTCTCAGATTTGCCCGGGTCCTGTAGTCCCAGGAGAAGATGAGGCCTCTGAGTCAAACGCCAGACCTCGGCGTCCCAATTCTTTCCCTCGGAAACAAACACATCGGCTTTGGCAGGATGTACGGCCCATTGCCATGATCCACCCTGGTGGTCACGTTTATGATGGTGCTGCCTGTGCTGAGTATGACGATGGTGATGATGATGCTGGTGGCAGTGGGCGTATTGACAGGCATCTTCTTTTCCGCTGATGATGGTAGCGACGATGGCAATGCTGACCAGGTTGAAGCTGATGAGCAACGACAGGTAGGTGGCAATTCCCTGCTGAACTCCTTACATGGTGCTAGCCGTTGGCCCTGTTCAGAAATAGTGAGACAGAGCTGCAGCTACTTTGAAGCATCCAAGGGCATGGCATTGTGTGGAACTGTGCCTGCGAAGTTGTTGGCATGAAGCCTCACTTCGCAGCCCGATGCTGGCGAGGCTCAAGTGACACCTTACCAGCCTGATTGAACCGCGGCTTGCGCTTGCCTTGATCTTGCCTGCTTGGTCTCGACAGCTTCTGAAACCTCGAAGGCCTTCAGCTGCGTGGGTCTCTTGTGGAGCCAGGCGACTGCAGCTTCACGAAAGGCAGAGTCCCCAAAGACTCCGGCAAAGGTCCTTCCAAGATAGAGGTCATGCAGGACATTCAGGTCTCTAGATAACATCTAAAATCCCACTGGCGACGGCCTTCCAGGCCATTGTCATACAAATCCAAGGACTTCAACTTCGGCCACCGTAATGCGATGTCCTCCTTAGCTTGAAGTTATGCGGCGACTGCCCGTAGCGGCAGATTGCAAGTTTGCTCATGCCGATGATCCATGATGAACAAAATGACCGACGAACCGATGAGAATGATTTTGGTCATGATGTGAGAATGCGAATGATGGCTATCATGGTGATAATGATGATGCTGCTGATGATGATGATGATGGCGACGGCGGCAACGAAGACTAGGTACCCTGATCTACCTGCCAGCCCAAGAACGACGGCAATGATGCAGTCACCGTGACTCTGATGATGCTAAAGAAGATGATGTGGTGGCAGGTGTGACGGCGACGACCAAAAGTATGATGTTCTTAACCCAAGAAGGACGACGACGCTCACGGCCATGACGCAGTCATCCTCACCATCCAAATCTTCATCATGAAGTCATGCAGATTCTAAAGACAATGATGTGGTGACAAGTTCGACGGCGACGACAACTGCTTCCTACGGCCATTGCTGCTCATGCGACAACTGCGATTGGGCAAGGCTCAGGTATCTTGCCGGTGAGGAAGTTCCCATCTAGCCAAACCTTCTCGATGTTGCTCCAGCCAAGCTTTACGAACTCCTCGATTCAGACAGCGAGGCTGTGCCGGCTACGATGACACAGGAAAGGATCACGACTTTGCTGTTGCAACTCTGGCATAGTCTAGACGGACTCCTCGAAGGCAAAGCCGAAGGAGTGTTGAGGGCAAAGGAAGCTTGGCCCTTCCTGGAAATCTTCCCATCTACCGGTACTTGTCGCGCGGCCGCCATCCTCCAATCCAGGCAGGGGCGTGTGCTGACGGAGTTGAGGCTTGGGCCGTGTGATGAAGACACTTAGTATTGAAATCCGTGCGCTGCTGCCCTTTTCCACAGGCTTGAACTGAGCTCGCCCGGCCAGATCCCTCGCAGCACATCGCACTCGTGGCGAGATGCGCAAGGTTAAGTACGCACAATCCTCAAGCAGCCCTAAACCCTAAACCCTAAACCCTGAACCCTAAACTCTAAACCCCTAAACCCTAAACCCCTGAACCCTGAACCCTAAATCCTCAATCCCTCGGCTCATGTGACCGGCACCTTGAAGAGATGACGGGTCTCCCAGGAGGCTTTGCAGCCGCCTCGCGACAAGCGCTGCCGGGCGCAGGGAATCATCTCCTCAGCTTCAAAGGGGGGGCTTTAAGGGGGCTTAAAGGGGGGGTAAAGGGAGCTTAAAGGGGCACCGAAAAACCAACTCACAACCGCCCACCGCTTCGTTAAAATCCCCTGACATGTGGCTAGTTCTCTAAAGTAGGGTTCCCCTTTAGGTCCCCAAAATGGTACGGCACCCGTATAAAAAGGACCCTAAAAGGGACCCTTATTTAGACAACTGCCAAGGTCTGTAGGGTGGCAAGATGCCCACTGTCGAAAGGCGACGAAGGATCTCAGGGACTGCAATCCCCTCAATGCTGTCGGAGGATGGGACATCATGCAGTTGGAGCCTTGGCTCTCAAGGGCCCAAAGGAACCCAACAGCTGCATTGACGCTTTTTCAGCTCGGGAAAGGTGCTTGACTTGAGAATGTGCGCCGAGACATAAACCAGCCTAGGAGCAGTAAAAGTTTCTCAAGTTCCTCATCTTATTCCAGCATTCAGGAAGTGCACCACCAGCGACGTGAATAACCTCAGTGGGATTACAGTACAGCAAGCTCCGCGCACGCAGATCGATCGAAGGATCAATAGATGGGTAATTCGGCATATAGGTACATGGGTAACCCGTAGATAGCTACATAGGTAAGTAAACGCACGGATGGATATACAGACCAAGCTGTGTAAATGGATGTATGTGTGTATGTATGTATGTATGTATGTATGTATGTATGTATGTATGTATGTATGTATTTTGGCTCCCACTTGGCAACGTCCGCAGACACTGCATGGCAGGTGTCAAGAGTATCGGAGAACCGAAGCAGTGGCTTCAAGAAAACAGGATTAAGCCACGATCGATGTGAGACTCAGTCCTCAAAGCAAGGTGCTTCACAATGGCTCGCTCACACTGCACAAAGGAGCCTAAGAATGAAGCCAGACAAACCACCTCCTGGC